GATATGCGTGTATATGCATCTGAATGTGTGCATGAGAGCATTTATACGGGTTGGTGGGGGATTGATGGTGACCTTTCAATTCAGTAAAAATAGACATGCTAGGCCTTCAATTAAAATTGACAGAAAAACGGTTGATCATCTCGGAGCAAAGAAAAAATATGCAGAAGATTCAAATATATTCAGGGTGTGCGAATGTTCCCAGCGTCCATTTCTCTGAAAACTTGAAACTCAATACACAGTAGAAAAGTGGAGTTAAAAAAAAAAAAAAAAAGTAAAAGGAAGAAAAAGGAAAAGAAGAATCAAAGGAACTTTTTCACAGAGTTAACGAATAGGGGAAAAATAAAGTCCGGCATTTCTCACCTGTATCTCTGTTGCTCCCTTTGTCAATCTGGTTATAATAATCTATCTATCTATCTATCTATCTATCTATCTATCTATCTATCTATCTCAGCCTGTTCATATCTATCTATCCATCCATCCATATATCTATCTATCTATCTATCTATCTCAGCCTGTTCATATCTATCTATCTATCTATCTATCTATCTATCTATCTATCTATCTATCTATCTGCACATGGTCATCTCTTCTTTATCTATCCATCTATTTAACCCATTCTATCTATCTATCTATCTATCTATCTATCTATCTCAGCCTGTTCATATCTATCTATCTATCTATCTATCTATGTATCTATCTATCTATCTATCTGCACATGGTCATCTCTTCTTTATCTATCCATCTATTTAACCCATTCTGTTCATATCTATCTATCTATCTATCTATCTATCTATCTATCTATCTATCTATCTATCTATCTATCTATCTATCTGCACATAGTAATCCCTTATCTATCTATCTATCTGCACATAGTAATCCCTTATCTATCTATCTATCTATCTATCTATCTATCTATCTATCTATCTATCTCAGCCTGTTCATATCTATCTAGCTAGCTATCTATCTATCTGCACATAGTAATCCGTTATCTATCTATCTATCTATCTATCTATCTATCTATCTATCTATCTATCTATCTATCAAACTCTATTGTTCTGGAAAGAAACTTGAAGGCGAAACAGTGAACCAGGGAGGAAATCTGGTGTTGGATAGAGACAGAGAGATAAACGATCTGATTGAAAAGAGAAAGAGACGGAGAATGAGGGAAGGAAATTTGGAGGAGCGAGAGAGAGAGAGAGAGAGAGAGAGAGAGAGAGAGAGAAAGAGAAAGAGAGAGAGAGAAAGAGTGGGAGAGTGGGAGGGACGAGTGCAGAGGAGAAAGTGGGAGAGAGTTCATTCTTAAGTTCAGTATCTATGCATTTTCCCACTTTTCTGGTTGACTTCTCCCCCATTCTCCATCACCATTCTCCATCCCCCCTCTCTCTCTCTATATATATATATATAATTCTTAATCGGCGAAAACGATCAAAGAAATGTTTTTCCATAATAATTTATTCATTACACTTAATATGATGAATATTATTATTAATTATTGTCCTAATTTTGTACTGCCTAACCTCAAAACCAAGTTTCTCTCCTCTGCGTAAATTAAAAATAAACACTCTTTCCCTACTGAATATACCAAATTCAAAGCAGTATACGCCATTGCTGTTATCGAATCTTGGTAAATTGCTCGAACTATCAATTGCTCGAAAAATAATTTCTCAAATTATTAATTGCTCGAAAGGCAGATTGCTCCAAGTAATTTCGAAGCTCGAAGCACCACGTAAACTGTGCCGTCTCACGACACGTCAACGGAGCTGGATATAAAAGCATTCACAACATTCAACTTTAGCAGCCCTGATTTTTTTTTCCTATATTTGTTTTCGATTTCTATTCCAGTAATTTTGGAGATCTTGAACCCTAGTGATGGACATAACTTTTGTTGAGAGCGAAAGAGGAAAGAAGTTGTGTTTGGATGGATATCTATATATAAAGGACAAAACAGTGAACAATAAGATTTACTGGAAATGTGAAATGTCCAAAAAAAGGAAATGCTTAGCACGTGTTATGTTTTTTTTTGAACCACAGGTTGCGAGCAAACTGCCTTTCGAGAAAAAAAATGTACTCGTTCTTTAATTTTAACTGTTCAGTTAACAACAATAAAGTTGTATTATTTTATATTATAGTAAATATTAAAAACAATGTAGTTTTATATTTTTTAACCACAGGTTTCGAGCAAACTGCCTTTCGAGCAATTGATAGTTCGAGAAATTATTTTTCGAGGAATTGATTTCGAGCAATTTACTGTCGAGCGATTGATTTCGAGCAATTTACCGGTTACAGCTGATATCAGACGCAATAAGGAAACTACAAGAATCTCCTACAGATGGTAGTGAAGGAAAGCAAGAAGAAAGGACTAAGCTCTAATTGCAAGACAACAGAGTGCATGGTTATCAGCAAAAGGAACAGCCCATTATGCAAATTACAAATTGCAGATATCAAAATCAAACAAGAACAACAATTTAAATGTTTAGGAAATCTTTTGACATATGAAAAGGAATTTATACATTTTCTTTGTTCTTGAGAATTGACAACAAAAATAATAAACACTCTTTATTTATTATATTATTTATTGAAATGGTTGGCAAAACATTGGCTAATTGTCGATAGATTTGAACTTTATAAAATGGAAAATAAGGATTTCCTTATAGTTGATTCACATATTTTAATAATTTAGTAAATGTTTATAAATTCATGAATAAAAAATTATTTTCCTCATTATTTCTTTATAAATTGGTAAATGATAAATATTGCATTGCATTAGTTTAAATTGCATTATTTTTTACAATGCTGTAACTATAAAATTATTATTGTAAATAAACAATAAATAAATAGTGTTTAATAATTTTATTGTAAATTCTCAAGGTCAAAAAATATGTATAAATTCACTTTCATCATATCTATAGATTTTATTACGATTTTAATCATCGCCTTTTAAAACAATAAATATTGCTGAGGGGTGAAGGTAGTTAAAAAAAAATTCTATGACAAAACCGTTTTTTGATACTCAGTTGCAGTCAAGTTTGATGGACTTTCTTTCCATTAGTATCTTGTATTCTATAAACCCTATTATGTCGTTGAGCAAGGAGAGTCTCCGTTTTTTTTTCTCCGAACATAACGATACAGACGCTAAAAAGCCTCTGTAG